AAATTTTTTTGTTATATTATTATTTTTTTAATTATTTTTTTATTATTATTTATATGTATATATTATTATTTTTTATTATTATTATTTTTATTATTATTTATGTATTATTTATTTATTTATTTTGTTGTCCCCCCCTCCCTGCTTGATACATGGTCGGTCTTCTCACACCTCATCCCTCTGTCAGTCCTTACATTGGCTTCCTGTATCCTATAGAAGTCAATTCAAAGTGCTAACCCATACCTATAAAGCACTGAACAATTCTAGCCCCTCTTATATCTCTGCACAGATCCATAGGTATGTCCCTTCTCAGTCTCTCCACTGTGCCAGTGACCTTCTCCTATCCGTTGCTCGCACCCATACGGCCTACTCCCACTTGCATAACTTCTCACGGACGGCTCCCTTCCTATGGAATAACCTGCCTACCGCCATCAGACTCTCCCCTAGTCTTCAATCGTTTAAGAAGTGCCTTAAAACCCATCTCTTTAGGAAAGCCTCCCAGAGTAACCTCTACCTCACATACCTTTTTCTTGCTCTCTCCTAAATGGCAGCACTTCACTCTCTTCTCCAGCTCTTCTTCACTCCCACCTTATTTGATTGCTATTTCCTGTCCTAATGTGTTTTATACTCCATCTCCTATAGACTGTAAGCTCATTTGAGCAGAGTCCTCGTCAACCTATCGTTCCTGTAAGTTTTCTTGTAATTGTCCTATTTATAGTTAAATTCCCCCTCTCATGATATTGTAAAGCGCTACGGAATATGTTGGTGCTATATAAATGGCAATAGTAATAATAATAATAATAAGTGTGTATGTCAGTGAGCTTGTGGGTGGGTGAGTGTGTCAGTGATCTTGTGTGTTTGTGTCAGTAGTGAACTTGTGTGTTTTTACCAATTAGTTTATCTGTAGTAAGCTTTGGTGTGTCAGAGAGTTTATGTGTCAATGAGCTTGTCTGTAGTGAAACATAGAAACATAGAAACATAGAAACATAGAAACATAGAATGTGACGGCAGATTAGAACCATTTGGCCCATCTAGTCTGCCCAATTTTCTAAAAACTTTCATTAGTCCCTAGCCTTATCTTATAGTTAGGATAGCCTTATGCCTATCCCATGCATGCTTAAACTCCTTTACTGTGTTAACCTCTACCACTTCAGCTGGAAGGCTATTCCATGCATCCACTACCCTCTCAGTAAAAGTAATACTTCCTGATATTATTTTTAAACCTTTGTCCCTCTAATTTAAGACTATGTCCTCTTGTTGTGGTAGTTTTCTTCTTTTAAATATAGTCTCCTCCTTTACTGTGTTGATTCCCTTTATATATTTAAATGTTTCTATCATATCCCCCCTGTCTCGTCTTTCCTCCAAGCTATACATGTTAAGATCCTTTAACCTTTCCTGGTAAGTTTTATCCTGCAATCCATGAACCAGTTTAGTAGCCCTTCTCTGAACCCTCTCTAAGGTATCAATATCCTTCTGAAGATACGGTCTCCAGTACTGTGTACAATACTCCAGTGAGGTCTCACCAGTGTTCTGTACAATGGCATGAGCACTTCCCTCTTTCTACTGCTAATACCTCTCCCTATACAACCAAGCATTCTGCTAGCATTTCCTGCTGCTCTATTACATTGTCTGCCTACCTTTAAGTCATCAGAAATAATCACCCCTAAATCCCTTTCCTCATATGTTGAGGTTAGGACTCTATCAAATATTCTGTACTCTGCCCTTGGGTTTTTACGTCCAAGATGCATTATCTTTACTTATCCACATTAAAATGTCAGTTGCCACAATTTCTGACCATTTTTCTAGTTTACCTAAATCATTTGTCATTTGGCTTATCCCTCCTGGAACATCAACCCTGTTACATATCTTAGTATCATCAGCAAAAAGACATACCTTACCATCAAGACCTTCTGCAATATCACTAATAAAAATATTAAACAGAATGGGTCCAAGTACAGATCCCTGAGGTACCCCACTGGTGACAAGTCCAAGCTTGAATATATTCCATTAACTACAACCCTCTGTTGCCTGTTACTCCAGCCACTGCCTTACCCATTCAACAATATTTGAATCCAAACTTAAAGATTGCAGTTTATTGATAAGCCTTCTATGTGCAACAGTGTCAAAAGCCTTACTGAAATCTAGGTAAGCAATGTCTACTGCACCCACCTGATCTATTATTTTAGTTACCCAATCAAAAAAAATCAATAAGATTAGTTTGGCATGATCTCCCTGAAGTAAACCCATGTTGTCTCTGATCTTGAAATCCATGTGTTTTTAGATGTTCATCAATCCTATCCTTTAACATGGTTTCCATCACTTTCCCCACTACTGAAGTAAGGCTTACTGGCCTATAGTTGCCCGACTCCTCCCTATTACCTTTCTTGTAAATGGGCACAACATTCGCTAACTTCCAATCTTCTGGGACTACTCCTGTTAACAATGATTGGTTAAATAAATCTGTTAATGGTTTTGCTAGTACACCACTAAGCTCTTTTAATAGCTTTGGGTGTATTCCATCAGGTCCCATTGACTTATTTGTCTTTACTTTTGACAGTTGAAATAGAACCTCTTCCTCTGTAAACTCACGTGTAATAAATGACTCATTTATCCTTTTTCTCAACTGAGGTCCCTTTCCTTCATTTTCTTCTGTAAATACAGAACAAAAATATTAATTGAGGCAGTCAGCTAGACCTTTATCCTCTTCTACATACCTTCCTTCTTTTGTTTTTAATCTAACTAATCCTTGTTTTACTTTTCTTTTCTCATTTATGTATCTAAAAAATGTTTTATCCCCCTTTTTTACTGACTGTGCTATTTTCTCTTCTGTGTGTGATTTGGAAGCTCTTATAACTTGCTTAGCCTCTTTCTGCCTAATCTTATAGATCATTTTGTCTTCCTCACTCTGGTTTTTTTTATAATTCCTAAATGCTAACTTTTTGTTTTTAACTATTTTGGCCACATCTGCGGGGTACCACAGTGGTTTCTTGAATTTTTTGCTTTTACTGACAAGCCTAATGCAATTTTCTGTTGCCTTCAATAGTGCAACTTTTAAATAATCCCATTTTTTCTTGGACTCCATTTAAATTGCTCCAGTCTGATAATGACTCCTCTACCCATATTCTAATTTTAGAAAAGTCTGTTTTTCTAAAGTCTAAAACTTTTGTTTTTGTGTGGTGTGACTCAGTCACTGTTCTTATATTAAACCACACTGACTGATGATCACTGGATCCTAAACTTTCACCTACAGTAACATCTGATACCAAATCTCCATTTGTTAACACTAAATCTAGTATGGCCTCTTTACGAGTTGGCTCCTCAACAACTTGTTTTAGAGACAATCCCAGTAGGGAGTTTAGAATATGTGTGCTCCTGGCACAAGTAGCTAATTTTGTTTTCCAATTTACATCAGGAAGATTAAAGTCACCCATGATGATAACTTCCCCCTTCATTGTCATTTTAGCTATTTCCTCAACTAGTAGATTATCTAACTCTTCAATTTGTCCTGGGGGCCTATAAATCACACCTACACGAGTTACTGTGTGATTACCAAATTCTAACGTAGCCCAAACGGACTCTATGTTTGCCTCACTAACTTTTATTAGGCTAGATTTTATGCTATCCTTCACATACAAGGCCACCCCTCCCCCTTTCTTGCCTTCCCTATCTTTCCTATATAAAGAGTACCCTGGTATTGCTATGTCCCAGTCATTTTTCTCATTGTACCATGTCTCAGTAACAGCGACTAAATCTACACTATCAGTTGCCATTATTGCCACAAGTTCATGGATCTTATTCCCTAAACTGCGAGCATTTGTAGACATGACTCTAAGCTTATCATTTTTTAACACACTTGCTACAGGCACCTTCTGTCCTTGTTTTGGGGGACAATTGGATTGATGTTTTATCACCCTTTTGCCCCCCCTCCTAGTTTAAATACATCCTAGCAAAACCTCTGAACTGCTCACTGAGAACATTTGTTCCCTTTTGAGAAAGATGCAAACCATCTTTTTTTGTACAGTTTATTTCCATTCCAAACAGAGCTACCATGAGAAATAAAGCCAAATCCTTGCTCCCGACACCATTCACCAAGCCACAAATTAAAGTCCCTAATACGCATCCGCCTGTCGTTCTGAGTGTTATGCACAGGCAGAACTTCAGAGAATGACAGTGTGGAAGCAACCTGCCGTATATCATTGGCAAAAACACTAAAAACTTCCTTAACCTCTGAAACCTCATTGCAAGCCAAGTCATTTGTCCCTAGATGGACAAGTACATCCAATTCCCCTTCCTGCTTTGCTTGCTTAACAATATTACAGATACGTCTCCTGTCTCTGTGAGCAGTAGCTCCGGGAAGACACCTCACAAGACCACCATTGTCCATCTCCACACCTCTTATAATGGAATCACCCAACAACAACTGCTTTCTATTAGGCCTCACCATAGTCTCCAAGCCGGTCTCCACAACACCACTAGCTCAGTGCCTCTCTCCACAACACCACTAGCCTCGGTGCCTCTCTCCACAACACCACTAGCCTCAGTGCCTCTCTCCACAACACCACTAGTCTTAGTGCCTCTCTCCACAACACCACTAGCCTCAGTGCCTCTCTCCACAACACCACTAGCCTCAGTGCCTCTCTCCACAACACCACTAGCCTCAGTGCCTCTCTCCACAACACCACTAGCCTCAGTGCCTCTCTCCACAACACCACTAGCCTCAGTGCCTCTCTCCACAACACCACAAGCCTCAGTGCCTCTCTCCACAACACCACAAGCCTCAGTGCCTCTCTCCACAACACCACAAGCCTCAGTGCCTCTCTCCACAACACCATTACACTCTGAAAGTGCAGAAAATGAATTATGAAGAGCAACAGACTGTGCAAAATGCCTTTAATCCACAACTCTAAGTCTACCAGATCCTACAGTAATCCATCTGCCTTTCCTAGCATGTCTCTGCGGCAGTGGCTTTGCAGCAGTTCCAGTCTGAGTTTCTACACCAGATAATTTACAAATCTCAGACTTCAAAAATACAATCTCCTGCCGCAAGATAGAGAACTGTCTACAGATTAGACAACAACCAAACCTCCAAAAAGTGGAACGTGAAACAAATGCATAGCAATTGTTACACTGAACTAAGCCTGCCATTCCAATTATGAGAATAATTTAAATCTTAACAAATCTTTTTTTCTTTATCCTCCTGAATACCTCAGATTACCTCCAGGTTATCTCCAGAATATCTCCAACTAGACACTTAGAAACAGCACTTGGAAGTAGCACCAAGCTATATTAGACAAGCTAATGAGACCAAGCCTTATATAACTCCTTAAATCACCGCCCACTAGGAATGTTTAACACCTGGGTAGGCCTCTGCTTATTTGCAAACAATAGCTAATTAACCAGCAATCAACAGCAAGTAACTAGCTTAATCAAATGCCTTATAATTACCAACAGGAATTCAAACCTTGGGCAATCAGTAACCTTTTCCTACAGATGAATCTTACCTGTAACAGTAGAAAAGAAAGCTCTTAGCACAACTCTTAGACAGTTGAAGCTTGTGAGCTTGTGTGTGTTTGTTACAATGCTGCCGCCCATCCCATGTGTTCCATATTAAGGGTTATTAAGTACATAGGGGTGTATATAAAAAAAATACCCCTCTCTGTCTCATTAGAGATGTCTTTGCCAGAAGTTTAAGGAAGCAAGGTGAAAGGACAGTGTAGGACCCGCCTAGGGGGGGGTCTGTGTTGACGTTGGCAGGCGGGCATTCCCTCCAGTGGCCATTGGAGTAACTAAATGACATCCAATTGTTTAAATATACATAGGGATTTAGGAGAGAGCGCAGGTAACTTTTTCTTTAGTTTTTTTTGTGAGCTTGTATGTAGTGAGCTTGTCTGTAGTGAGCATATTTGTGTTTCAGTGAGCTTTCCTTTAGTGAGCTTGTGTGTGTGTGTGTTATTGAGTTTGTCTGTAATGAGATTGTGTCTGTTTGTGTTAGTGAGATTGTATGTGTCGGTGAGCTTGTATGTATTTACCAATGAGTTTGTCTATAGTAAGCTTGAGTGTGTATCAGTGAGCTTGTCTGTAGTGAGTGTGTGTCTGTCAGTGAGCTTGTCTGTAGTGAGATTGTGTGTCTGTGTCAGGGAGCTTGTGTGTGTTTCTTGTGAGTGATCTTGGCTATAGTGAGCTTTTGTGTAAGGGTCAGAGAGCTTCTATGTGTTTCAGTGAGTTGGTCTGTAATCAACTTGTGTGTGTCAGAGAGCTTGTCTGCAGTACATTTGTGTGTGTGTGCCAGTGAGCTTTTCTGTGTGTGCCTGGGAGTTTGTGTGATTTATTCATGGGGAACACATATATGTGTATATATAATGTCCTCATAAAATATATACTGATGTCCGCATGAGCATGGAGGATTGCCCTGCTTAGGGAAGTGTATATGTATATACACACTGACACACACACACTATTTGACACAATAAATTATGGAACTGTACACTGTATTCCCAGTCCGGCCCACATTGTCAACAGCTATGTGTTTACAGCAAAAAGCCTACATAGGCATTAAGCTGTAGTTGTTCTGGTTACTATAGTGTCCCTTTAATGAAAAGCTGCACTGTCCTTGCAATACCTACAGTAAATAATATCTAGCTATACTACTGGGGGATCAGGTCATTTAGTGTATTCCTGTTCTTACCCTGAAAGAAAAGCATTAATACTATGTGCAGTTTCACTGGGTGTCACAAGGGTGGCCAACAGGTAGATACCCTGGGCTCGAGTCCTGTAGGAACGCGTGGGAACGGTGTTCCTGCACTTTTTTCACAGCAGGAACGCCGTTCCCCCTGCATGCACTACCCAGGCAAAAAATGCAGCCGCCACCTGATGGAACCCCCCCCAGCAGGCGGCTGTCTCCCTGTCATACACGGCAAGGAAGCTGTGTCCTCTCTGCTCTGCTCCCGCGCCGTTTGCTGTACCCGGGAGCCGGAATATAACGTCATATTCTGACTCCCGGCATCAGTAGACAGCCCGCGTGAGGGAGCAAAGCAGAGAGAACACAGCTCCCTCGCCGCGTGTGACAGGGAGACAGCCGCCTGCCCCACTGGACCCCAGGGACCCATCCATGCCAGCTTTCCCAAAAGGTTGGGAGGCTGGGTGGGAAATGTTAATTTAAAAAATATTAATAATTTGTATATATGTCTGTCTGTGTATGTCTGTTAGTGTATGTGTATGTGTCTGTTAGTGTATGTGTATGTGTCTGTTAGTGTATGTATGTATGTGTATGTCTGTCAGATTACGTGTGTCTGTGTATTTGTGTATGTCTCTTTGTGTGTATGTGTGTGTATGTCTGTTAGTGAGTGTATGCATGTGTATGTCTGTTAGTTTATGTCTGTTAGTGTATGTGTGTCTGTTAGCGTATGTACGTTTGTGTGTATGAGTATGTGCTTCTGTTAGTGTATGCACGTGTGTGTGTATGATATATGTGCTTCTGTTAGTGTATGCACGTGTGTGTGTGTATGAGTGTATGTGCTTCTGTTAGTGTATGCATGTGTATGTTTGTGTGTATGTGCTTCTGTTAGTGTATGTTTGTGAGTGTCTGTCAAATCAGTGAGAGTCTGTTTGTCATTTAGAGTGTGTGTGACTATTAGTGTGTGTCTGTCAGTGTGCTTGTGTGTGTCTCTCTGTCAATGAATGAGTGTGTGTCAGTGAGTGTGTGTCAAATCAGTGACGTCTGTGTGTTTGTCATTGAGTATGTGTGTTACTGTCAGTGTGTGTCAGTGAATGTGTGTGTGTCTTTCAGAGAGTGTGCTTAAAGGGACACTATAGCCACCCAGACAACTTCAGCTTATTGAAGTGGTCTGGGTGCAGTGTCCCAGTCCCCTTAAACCTGCAAGTGTAATTATTGCAGTTTCTTAGAAACTGCAATAATTACCTTGAGGAGTAACTCCACCTCTAGTGGCTGTCTACCAGACAGCCAGTAGAGGGACTTTCGGGTGGTTAGGTAACTAAAAGTCATCTAACTGATGCTGGACGTCCACACCCTGTGCATGAGGACATCCAGCATCTGCTAAATACCCATATGATTTTAACCCCTTCAGTTTGGAGTATTGGAGGGGAGGACACAAGGGTGGGGGGGGGCAGCTTTGTTTTCCTGGTACTGTAGTATTTCTTTAAAAGGAGCAGGAAAAGGTGGAGTCTAAAGAGGAAGGGGTGGGTTCTTAATCAGGAAGCAGTGCGCCCTTGACAGTAAGGGGTGGTAAATTTAGATTAGGGGGTGCTCAGGTATAGTCGTGCCTAGGGCAGCACAAAATTAAAATACACCACTGTGTGAGTGTCTGAGTGTATGTGTGTGTCTGTGAGTGTATGTGTGTGTCTGAGTGTGTGTGCACGCGTTTATATATGTATACAAGTGTTTTGGGGTTTTCTTTGGGAGGGGGGTTTGGGTGAGTTACCACACTTTTTCCCCCAGGTCTTGACCCCTATAGATACCCATCTGTCACAGATTGCTCTACTAGTTAGGGATCTACCATTTGCCCATCACTGCAAGTTATGTTTAGCACTAAGCAGGGTTTGTATGTTTGAATGTAAGCTTGTTTTTGCATGAAGTATGTGTGAGTGAATGTAGGGTGTGTTTGTGTCTAGTGTTGGCATTTGAACCCAGACTTGAATTTGGGTGCAGTGTTGGTTTTTGAATGCGGGGTTGTGTTTATATATAATGTTGATTTCTAATACAGAGGTGTGTTTGTATGCAGGGTCGTTGCATCCTATTGGCAGCTTAGGCAGTCACCTAGGGCACACCGGCCTGGGCGGGGCAAGTTTTGAGTGACCCGGCAGGAGGAAAGCGCACGGTGTTCCCTCCTGCCAGTCACTCAGGATAGTGTGGCACGGCAGGGCGAGGCAGGGAAGACAAGAGCTTTCTGTACCCGGCAGTACTGAAAGGAAGTGCTCTCTCAGTGAGCACTCCTGTCTGTCCAGCCGGGTGCAGGAAACAGAAGCTCCTGCACGCGGTCCACGCCAGCCGGCCAGCCATGCTACACAGAGGTAAGAGGCACAACAGGGAAGGGGTAGGAGATGGCACTAAGGGTCATTGGGGGGAGGGAGAGGAGGAGAGACAACTTAGGGACACTGGGGTGGGGGGAACAGGGCTGGACTGGCCCACTGGGATACCAGGAAATTTCCCAGTGGGCCGTCAGCACCTGGGGCCGGGCAGACAACTGGCTGACCTGCGGCTGCCACAGGGGGAGCTCTGATGGCGGCCGCAGGGGGGAAGGTGGCTGTTCTGGCGGCCACAGGGGGGAAGCTGGCTGTTCTGTCTCTGCTTCCCCGCCCTCGCGCGCTACTTAATGAAACCGGGGCCGGAATATGATGTCATATTCTGCGTGCTGGGGAGCAGAGACAGAACAGCCAGCTTCCCCCCTGCGGCTGCCGGAACAGCCAGCTTCCCCCCTGTGGCCGCCGGAACAGCCAGCTTCCCCCCTGCGGCCGCCAGCACAGACAGCTGTCTGCACACAGGTAGCAATTATGTGTGTGTGTCATGGTGTCTGTCTGTGTCATGGTGTGTGTGTGTGTCATGGTGTGTGTGTCTGTCTGTCTGTCATGGTGTGTGTTTGTGTGTGTGTCATGGTGTATGTGTCTGTGTGATGTAATGTGTGTGTGTGTCTGTCTGTGTCATGTAATGTGTGTCTGTCTGTGTCACGGTGTGTGTGTGTGTATGTGTCATGATCTGTCTGTGTCAAGGTGTGTGTGTGTGTCTGTCATGGTATGTGTGTGTGTTTCTGTCTGTGTCATGGTGTGTGTGTGTGTGTGTCTGTCAAGGTGTGTGTATGTCTGTCATGGTGTGTGTGTCTGTCAAGGTGTGTGTATGTCTGTCATGGTGTGTGTGTGTCTGTGTGTGTCATGGTGTATGTATGTATGTGTCTGTGTGTGTTATTAAAAATAGTGCTTTTACTCACCTTCCCCCCCCCCTGGTCGTGCTGGTCTTTCCTCGACTGGCCCTGCCTCTATGACTGAGATCATCAAGCTTGATGATCTCAGCCAATCCGCACTGAGACAGGAAGCACCTCTAGTGACCGTCTGAGTGTCTGTCACTAGGAAGCAAGGTAAACACTGCCTTTTCTTTGAAAAGTCAGTGTTTACATTGAAAAGCCAGCAGGGACAGACTATAGACACCATAACCCAGAACCACTGCATTAAGCTGTGTGTGTGTGTGTGTGTGTGTGTGTGCGTGCGTGCTAGTGAGTGGGCTT